ATGAATTAAAAGCATTAACCAATCATTCAAATTCACAATTCCATCAATTCTCAAATTCCCTCACTTAGCACATTATGCCCGAATTATATATCAAATATGCACAAGAAACTCATCAAGGTGGATCAAAGTCGACCAACTACAACTACTTAAATCCTAAGAAAGCAATAAACGTGCTAAAGCAATAAAACCTAACATGCAACTAAATGATATGCAAGATAATGAAAGATATCTTGTTATCTTCTCTCTAAAATTCTCAAATCGAAATACCACATCTCCCCCCCAAACTTGAATGAAATTATATGAAGCACAAAAGGGAAGAATAGAATTTCAATAAAAGTAAAATAGGGATGACTTACAAAACATTATTAGAGAGATGACAATTATTAGTATAGATCTCGAAGCATATCCTTCGTCATGTAAATCTCTCCACAGAATGTTCTGCAAGGAAGAAAAACAAAATATCAAACAAACAAAAGTAAAACTAACTAAAATAAAATAAAATAAAATAAAGCAGTAAACATTGGGTTGCCTCCCAACAAGCGCTAAATTTAACGTCTTCAGCCAGACGACAATGCTCATTAGGGAACTCTAAATAATGATTTTGATGATCTTCTCATCTTTTTAATTTTCACTTTCTCCCAGTAAGGACTCAATCCAAAAGAGAGCATCATGTTCTCTTCATGTTCACCAAGTTTAGTATCACAATCTGTTTCAAATTGAATGACGAAGACTTCAACCTCCTCATCATATGGAATAACAAATTCAATTTTTAACCATTCAGAATTAAAGAATTTCTCTTCAATCATCCCGTCAGTGAGAATAACTGTGGGGGATTTAACTTCAAAGATGACATCCTTCTCTTCTTCATGTTCTTCGGCAACGATAGAATTTTCCGGCACACTATTTAATGGCAAAAAGCATGGAGGAATGTAATCGAGCTCTTCTTGCGATATAGGAGGTAAACTTGAGAAAGGACAATTTCCCGGTGTGTGTGACAACATCAAACCACATTCATCACACCCAATGCCTCTTTCCTCGAGTTCTCTTCTACGACGCTTTGACTCCAACTCGACCCTTTTAAGTTCTTCCAACTGATAGATCAAACACTTTTCATACCATTTTTTATCCTCTTCCGAGTATTTGGGATCTTGGCGCCAGTCATAGTCTACCGCATCCTCATCCATCAAAAAGAAAAAAAAAATATGTTAGCAAAAAATACAAAAAATGTCTAAATTAAAACCAACACTATCTATCATAATATTGATACAACTAATTATATTGGTCCCCGGCAACGGCGCCAAAAACTTTTTCGCCTATATTTTTAAAGCTCGACCGCAAGTGTACGGCTTCGCTCGTAGTATGTGGCAAGCAAGGTCGTATCCCAAGAGACCAAATAATTATTATACCAATTACTAGATTATGATAGTGTTGATTTTATTTAGATGACCGAATATGAGATGGATTAACTAAACTACGAAATGAATCAACGCAAATCAAGCAAGAATAAGAAAACAACTAGAAAAACACTTAAGAAGAATATATGGGAATGGTAGATTCTAAGACTATGGGTTCAATTAACAGTTGGGTTCCTTCAAATTTATCACAACTAACTATTTTCTTTATCTACCCTATAAGATGATCGCAATTTTAGCCTATCGTCCCTCTCGAGATCGATAAAACCGTAGATTAAATCACATATATTAGCGTCTCCACTCAACACATGCAATTCAACTCCAATTAGAACAAAAGATCTAATATCCTCACAACGACCTACTAATCTCTCGATTCAAGCAAGTAAATTGTGTCAAATATTAAAGACCTAATATTGAACTCATCTCTCGAATTATGAACAATATTGTCAAACATGTAAAAGAATTGATCAAGTTCTAAACATGAAATAAGAACAAAATATTTGAATAGGGTTCAAAAGAAAACAATCAACTATGATAAATCATCCAAAATCCCAACATATTAATCTACTACCATGTCTTAGAATCAATGAAATTTAGCTACTCATGTTTGAATTCAAATACATAGACATATTAGAAATCAACATGAGGAAATAAGTTCAAAAGAGAGAAAGAAAAACTAGTAAGCTTGTGGTTGATCTTCTCTTCTTCTCAATTGCTTCTCTTGTGTGTTCTCTAGCTCCCTTCCTTGCGTAATCACGTTCTCCCCTCTCAAAATAGGGTAAATATGCCTTTTATAATGTCCAAAACCCTTCTCCTATTCAAAATAGACAAGAAATAAAACGCAGTCCGCACGCGTAACACGGCCATTCTGCCCGTGTCACTGTCCGTGTCGCAGGTCGTGTCAAGTTCAAGCCCTCGGAATGTCCCTGTTCACGTGACACGGCCACCTGACACGGGCATGGTGCCCGTGTCACCGTCCGTGTCACATCCCAGCACTCTCGTTTTTGTCCGTTTCACTCATTTCTTCCATTTTTCTCATCCGTGCATCAATCCATCATCATCTCGGGGGTCCTAGGTACTCACCATGCGCCTTCAATAGCCACAAGCTCTACAAATATGTGAAAATATCTACAAAACAAGCACGTGTAATACCTTTCCAACAAATAGAGAATTAAAGCACAAATATGCGATTTGTACACCAATAATGCAATGACTAAGCTCTAAATACTCAATAAATATGGTGTAAAATCACACATGAACAGATGTAATATGTAATTGATTCAATTTGGAATAAGACAAGTGACCCAACCTGAAATGCCAAGTATCATTATTGATTGAAGTAGAACATACAGTCTCATGATTTACAGGTAAAGAAGAGTTTACAAGTAAATTACAGTGATCATGAGAAGGGTTAAAGAAGACAAATCAAAATAATAGAGGCCATCTTCCAGGTCAGCAGAACCAATCAGTTTCTGTGATAGCATGTCCTGTATAACACAATGATTCGATAGAAATTGGACAATACAATTAACAGATTAAACCAATTTAGATACAGATATGAGATTAAAATGAAAACTAGGTACATTGAGAGCATCATGAAGAATGATAGATGGAGTTATTTGAACATTGCCTCTATAACATGCTTCTGTAAATTGTCCATTTGCCAGATTGATTTTAATAGAAACCATTTTTGGATTTGCACAGAAAAAGGAAATGTCACATATCATATGATCTGTTGCTCATGTGTCTAAAATCCAAGTATCTTTGGACATTTGTCGTGACTAAGCATGTAAGAGGATCAGAAATACCTGTTGCATTTTGAACAGCAGTAGCCACAACAGGATTAGAAGGAATCACTGATTTCTTGTTCTGCTCCTGTGACTTTTTAAAGGCTACAAACTCATTAAACAAATCATCAGTAATAGTGTGTGATGAATTAACTAGAGGGGCTGTAGGTTTAGTTTGAGTGAAATAGGCAGATGGTTTGGGTCTAGATATAGGTCCTTTGGGTTCAATCCCGTAGAAGGGTAACCAACAATTTTGAAAACACTTGTCAGCTGTATGGCCATTGTATCCACAATGAGTACACTTGAGTTTCTTTCTGTCTTTGAAAGGTTGTTTGTGAGATGTGGTTTGAGTGGTTTGATTGGTAGAAGTTTTGGCAGCCATAGCGACTGGATCAAGGAATTGTGGTTTATTGTTGAGAGATCTTTGTGTTTCCTCGTGAAGAAGTAAGGAATACACTTTGGATAGGGATGGCAGAGGTGAAGAAAGAAGGAAATGGCTTCTAAGGGATGAATAGGAATCGTTTAGCCCAACCAGAAACTTCATCACACAATCATTTGCTGAGATACAACCATAGCTTAAAAAATATTACAAGTACATGCAGTAAAAGCACCACAATTACACTTGAAAATAGGTCTGTACGTGGCATACTCATCCCACAATGATTTAAAGACATTATAATAGTGAGTAACAGACTGAGAACCTTGAGCAATAGTACTGAGGGACTTTTCAAGATGAAAAACCCTAGGACCACTGCTAAGGACATACCGAGTTTGCAGTTCAAGCCACACATCACGAGCAATGGTGAAAAATAACAACGATTGGCGTATATCTTTGCAAATAGAATTGAGGAGCTAGGGGAGTACCAAATTGTTAGCGCGTAACCAAGACATGTAAGAAATCGGATTACCAGATGCCGATGGTGCACTGAGGGATCCATCAACAAACCCGATCTTGTTCTTGACGCTGAGCGCCATCAGTACAACATGTGACCACGAGACGTAGTTCTCGCCGTTGAATGACTCGGCAATGATGACAGCGCCTGGATTGTCGCTCGCATGCAGATAAAACGTAGAAGTAGGATCATCTGATGGGTTAACCGTCGTCGTATTGACCGGCGTCGTCATGGAAATAATCACAGACAAATCGCAGATGCGAGAAAAATAATATGGATCTGAGTAGATCTGAAGTCTAGGGTTTTGCTCGAAACATCGAATAAAAGGAATCAAAAGAAGAATGCTCGAAAAAACATAGAGAGAGGCAGCGGAAATAGATCGAAAAACACAGGATTGGCGAGATTTAGCCGGCGAATGATACTGTAATGAACTTTGAAGATCAGAGAGAAGAACACAAATATGCGAGAGAAAAGGAACGAGACGATTAGATTTAAGAATGAAAAAAAAAATGATGTACTATTGTTCACCCTATTTATACTTAGGGTTAGCAAAGACAAAGTGTTGATTATACAACTCTATTACTTAACCTATTACAAAAGTCTAATACACTAATAAAGAAGAATAAATGAATCCTATTACAAAAGTCTATATTTTCACGGGCTTATTGTGCAATACTATGACCATTACAATATCCAATTAATGATGCTCTTACACTTGGAAACACAATAAAAGAATAATGAATTAATGTGTTAGCGGCTGCGCAGCCAGTCCTCTGAATCAGCTTCATTAAAATCAAGGACTAGCTCATGAATAAATTATATTATAAACAATAAAAAGAATGAAAAGATTGTTTAATTTTATAAAAATTGATTAAGGTCATTTTGAAGCCGTGAATAAATTATTAATCCTAGTTGATTTCCTCTTCCTCCACTTCAATCAAGTTCTTGATCACCACGTCTGTAGCACTCGCAAGAAACTCCACCCAGTCCCTGTATCAACACAAATTAATATTGACCGTATTAGTAAATATAATTACAAAAATTAGTGATGCCCTCATTATATAGTCCGATTTAATTCATGCGTAGTCACGTTAATATGCCCAATATATACTTGGGCCCGTTACTGGCTACTAATGTGGATTGCAGCATGACTCAAAAAAAATAAAAATAATAATAATAATAATAATAATAATAAAAGCATGTTAATTCTAAATTTAGAACCAAATCTTGGCTTTAACTGTAGTCAGGTTTATTTTTTCTCCACAAAAATTTAAAAATTAGTCTCATAGCTAGTGTATTAAAAATAGTCCTATATTAGAATGCATTTGATGAATAGTGATTTCGTAGCTTTTAAAATTGATCAAAATAAGAACATTTTTTGTCGAAATTGCATGAGACCTGCACAAAATGTATTAAAATCGTGGGAAGGTCCCACCAACAAAATGTCATATCTGACTTTTGTCAAAATATTTCAAAATAAATATCAACTACTACAACACCCATGTATTACATGGGTGGGTCGTTGCCTCATCCCGGACCGTTCATGGACGGATTCATAAAAGTGGGATGGGTATCCGGACAAGTCAAATCCAGGACTGTCCCGGCCCGCGCCCACCCCTACCATAAATCATCAACATATTTATAGATAATTCGAACTTAAATATATTTGGATTAGAAGTAAATTAAATCTACTCAAGCGTAATAACGAAGCATATAATTTTGACACATAGGATCCCGAAGCATGCGAGTCTGCCCTGTAGGCTCAACACGTTTTGAATTAATATATATGACGGATTTTGAGGTGATTCACAAATGAATCGAAGCCGATGGTACTTACCCATTACGCGTGTCGAAAGTTAATCCAACGGTGAACTTAGCCTCCTCGAGCGCGGACCGGAACCTATCGATATCCTTTGGCGAGCACGACCCGTCTTTCCTAACCCGGAGGTCCGAGGGCTTCACGTCGCAAAAGACGGGCACGACCCGTTTTCCGAGCTCCATCATCCGAGTCAGCTCGTGCAGGCAGAAATACGACTCGCAGTACATTGGCGAGAATACGGCCACCCCAACTTTGCACTCCCTAATCGCCGAGTCGATCTTGTCAAACAGCCGGTCCCCGGGCTTCATGCTCTTGCTGTCAAGAAACGGGCTCAGGCCCAAGCCCGCCAGGTGGCTGTGCAGTAGGCCCGCCAGGTGGCGCTTCGTGTCCACGCCCCGGTGGTTGATGAATACGCCGCACGGCGGTGGATTGCAGGCTCCGGCGGCTGAGGTGAGCTGGGTGATGTGGCGGCCGATGGCTCGGACGGCGGTTGAGGCAGAACGCTGCATGGTTTTTTTAAATATTTTTGTGGGTTTTGGAGGGTTTTTTTAAAAAATAAATAAATAAATAAATCTTGTTTGTGTTTTTTCTCTGGTTTCTTGTAATGGGTTTTTGTGGTGATGGGGATGCTGGAATTTATAAGGGTGAAGATTTGGGATGGAAATTTTAACTGGGTTTTGTGGGGTTTGATTGTTTTGAACGTGGAAAACTAGGAAAATTNTTTCTTATTTCATTTAATATTTTTTTTCTAATTTCCACCGTGTTTTAATATGTTCTTTTACTCATTTTATGTTGCCATTTATTATATATATTATAATGTTCTAAAGTTATATAACTATGACTGCATGCATATTATACTCTTTTGAACATTCAAATTCAAAATACTAATGTTCTCATGGTCAAAATAATTCAGCAAAGTATTGGTGCATATATTTTGGTGGATGGAGCTAGGGGCTGCAAAATAAAATAAATAAATAAAGCTTTTGATAATGAATAAATTATGTTCAAACCATTGTTTATAAAACTGAATCGTACCAATGGGACTTGGAACCGGTCCCTTGGCTGCTCATGTCATCTTAAATGTGATTTGCGCAGATTAGTAAGGAGGTGATTGTTTATGTTTTCAACTAAAAAAAATTAATTAAAACTTAAATTTAACTCAATTTTAATTTTATATCACTATTTTCAATGTTATTAATATAATTAAATAATATCAACCAATCATTCTTACACATCACATCACTTTAATTCATTATCCATCCACTCATATAATTTTAACTAACAATCACTTTCAATCATTTCTCTCCTACTTTACATCAAATCAACTTTAATTATTTTATATAAATATTACTTTAACATATCCAGTAACAACTAACCATACCAACTTTTTTTAAAATTAACTATTATTAAAAAACAAATCAAATAAAAACTAGTTGAATCCATAAACAATCACCCCTACCTCGTGGATAAATAATTAATTATGTGTGCACTTGAAACAGAATACTACTAATTTATTGAATTCTTTTTATTATTTATTAACTTTTAAAAGTTATTTTGAAAAAATATATTTGAATAATTAATTGTTAAACTAATGTAGTTAAGACTTACAGACTTACCATTTCATAAGCCTAGCTAACAAGTGAGTGTTACTTGAAACGTCTAATTGTGTACTAGACTCTATTAGTGTACTAATAAAATACTTCATTATATTAGTTTTTTCACTTTTTCCAAACATGTATTTCTATAAAAAAAAAAATAAAATAAAAATAGAAGCTTATATTTTAGGAGAAGGCTACAGCCCCGTTACAATATGGTTCTGTACCGGTGTTTTTTACCGTAGATACACATGTAGTTCAGTGATGTGTAAATAATCTACAGTTAAAAACACCGACGGAACCATACTGTAATAAGACTGTAGTCTTCCCTATATTTTATATTTATAAATGCTTAAAAAATGCATTAATATATTTTATTTGGAATTACATATGCAACTCGTAAGAATGTCTCGTCATATGTTATAATATTTTTAAATCCATCATATAATATGTTTGATAAATGTAAAAGATTGTGCAAGCCCTATTATTCTCTCTCTCCATCGTCCTCCGTCTCTTTTTTTAATTGCTCGCGTGCCTTCCTCATTGGCTAGTCGGGCTTTGTCGGTGGTCGGCCCTCGGCCGCATGACTGTGGCCTCGATTTTTTGCTTTTCCTTGTTTTCTTGTGCCTATAGTTGCGTGCGACTGTCCGCGGCTGGTTTTCTCCAAAAATCTATTGTCAAATCGTGCAATTGGTCGCGGTTTTCTACGTCCCTAGTGTTGAGGTGGTTCCAGGTGGGGTGTGGCATCGGGGCTGGGCGTGGCTCGGGCTGCATGCGGCGTCATTGTAGAGGTGGCCGGGGCTAAGACGTCTCGCTCGCTCCCTATTCCTCTGTTTCCCTGGCGTGGGGTTCGAGAGGAGGCCGATGCCACCAGACTTGGCCAGTGGTGTTGGTCGAGTTCGGAGCAATTGTGGTGTAGGGGAGGGTGAGTTTAGCGTTCCTCCGACTGCGGGACGGGTTGGCTTCCTGGAGTGGCTTGGGATTTGGGTTTCAGCTTCGGTTAGGCATTTGTCAGCAGTTTTCGGAACGGTTTCTGAAGTTGAGAACCAATTTGTTAGGGTCGGCCGTGTGTCTGTTGGTGCTTTGTGCTGGTTCTTTTCACTCCGATTTTCTTCAAGCACGCAATAGGAGAGTGGGTACTTATAATATTCATTACTCCATATTTGTGCCCTTTTTACTTATGAAGTTATTCAAGGTGGATGTGGTGTTTGCTAGTTGAAGGAGGGAATGTTTGGATCTTTTTATTTTCATTGCTTGCGTAAGTGTGTTAGGAATTCAATATGTGATTATCTTGTTTAAAGGTTTTTTTTCGAAACGATAGACTTCATAGAAAGAAACACAAATTTACATCTAGAAGACATCAAATCAGCTAATAAAACCAATCACCCAGCGAAAACTAGAACCAACCTAAAAAACAAACAAAAACACAATATGACATAGAGAACTACAAACAGACTCCCATGAATGGAGAAAGAAAAGCTCCTACAAGTGGAGAAGCTCCCAAACGAGAGAACCAAAAAAGGATCAACAAACACAAACCTACAAACTTACAACAAACTGACTGGTCGAAAAAAGGGCGTATTTTATATATTTATTAGCGTATTTTTATATGTTTAATTTTGTCGCACTTATATATTTTTTGACTTATTTATTTATTAGATAGATCCACGTTCTATGATATTTTTATGTCTTATTTTTAGGATATTGGAGTATTTTCGTAGGCGGCGTGACAATAAACAAAATTTCAGCCGGCAGAGTATGGTGGTACCCCATATTCTGCTACCAATAGAGCTAGTACCCATACTCGGCCCAATATAGGCCACATATTTGGGCCCAAGATTAAATTAGGTGGGCAGCATTCCTAATTTCAAAGAGGAAATGACTTCAAACACCAAGCTCATTTATGTTTTTGACACAACTATCTTTACAACTTTTTCTTTCCAAAAATACAAGGATAAAAATGACTTGTTACATATAATGGTAACACTTTATTTTTAGAAAAAGTCAACATAAAAATATTACCTCAATATACTAATAAAAGAAGATAATGAGTGAACCACCAAAAATGTCAGAACAAATAGGAACACTTATAGAAATAATAAAAAATAATCAATTAGAAATATTTGAAAAAATAGATGAAATAAAAGAAATAATAAAAGAACTACAAGATTTAGTACAAAAAGAAAAATCACGGAAAAAATTATTTAAATCAATTCGAATAGAGCCACCAACAAGTTCTAATGGATGACATAGATAGATTAACTCAATTATTAGAAAAATGTAATATTGAAGAAACTAGAATGGCAAAAATAGATGATGAAGATAAACAAGGAATAATATACGGAATAGATAGTGAAGGTGAAGATGAACCAACATTTAATATGACTGACCAAAAACCTTATACAACACCGCCATTATCACCAAAACGACCTAGAATGAATAATAATGAAGCATCTAGTTCACAAAATAATTATGAAAGCAGTTTTAGAGATTTTATATATAGAAATGGTTATAGCTATCATCAAGAAAAAATAAAGAAAAATATTCCACCAGCATACTTAGAAAAAAAAAGAAATTTATCTAATGGAATTTTAAATATAGATTGTGCAACTAATACAGAAGATTTAATAGTCACTTGGACTAATCAATTGAAATTACTAGTTCAAACAAATGATTCAATGATAAATGGAATGACATTAATTGATTTTGTCAATTATATAAGATATAAAACATCTGGAGTATTATTTGATTATCTAGAAAACACTCAAATTTTGTTAAATCTTGAAGCTAGTGGTTCAGAAACAGGAGCAGAATATAAAATAGGAGCTTTAAAAGAATTAGCAAAAAATTTGTTAAAAGAATTTTTAGGAATTACAGGACAAGAATCAAAAGAAACACAAAAAGATAAGGTAATTAGATTTTTAACAAATATGAAATTATGTAATATATGTTATATAAAAAAATTTTTCTGTCAAGTAAGAGAAAATTTTTATAAAATTAAGGATCGATCAGGACTAATAGAAATAGTTGAAAGTAAACTTAAATATGAAATGAATAAATATATTCAGAATAAAATAAGTGAAACAAAAGAAGAAAAAACTCTAGGAATTTTAGAAAAATACGCAAAAGAATATAGAGATGAACTTTGTATAAGAAAGATAGAACATCATGAAATGACTAAGGTCGATTCAAGATGTTGCAAACAACTAGAAAGTGTACCACAAGAATTTGGTTGTTATAATACATACAAAAAGAAGAGATATTATAAATATAATAAATTTAATAGACGATATAGACCAAGAAGATATAAAACATTTAGAAAACCGTGGAAAACAAAATATAAAGGAAAATTTAGAAAACAAGGAAAATATTTAGGAAAAACTAAATATTGCCCTAAAGGTAAAAAGAATTGTAGATGTTGGAAATGTCAAGAAATAGGACATTATGCAAATGAATGCCCTAAAAACATACCAGAAAAAGAAAAGAAGTTAAAAATGATATTTTCTTTAGGTTATGAACCGATAGAAGATGAATATGAGGAAGGTGAACTCTTAGATTTTGACATATACGATTTAGAATCAGAAACAGATAGTGATTTAGAAACATCTGAATCAGAAGATGAATAAAAACAGTTCGTTTATAAAAGTTAAATTATTTAACAAATTTTTACTAGCATATATAGATACAGGTGCAACAATATGTCTAGCAAAAGAAACTATATTACCTAGTAAATATTGGAAGAAATTAAACAAACCAATTATCGTAAGAATTGCAAATAATAAAACAATAAGTATTAATTATAGAGCAACAGATTTATTATTATTAATAGAAGAAAAAAGATTTCCTTTACCAAGTCTTTATAAACAAAATACAGGCTTACCATTAATAATTGGAAATAACTTTCTTAAATTATA